CCTCGGTTGGTAGAGCATGAGACTCTTAATCTCAGGGTCCTGGGTTTGAGTCCCAAACTTTCCTGCATTGAAGCAGGTTGGATGAGATGGCCCTCAAGGTCCCTTCCAACTCTATGATTCTATGGTCTAATGGACACTCTCCTAACCTACACAATGCTATACATGCCTTCTCGGAAGTAACTTCCATTGAGTTCAATGCAGCAAGTGGGTACAGGATGCAGCCACAGGAAGCCAAACTTTAGACATTATTTCCCCACAAGCTGCAGTGATAACTGAAGTTTACCCAAGCAAATGATCTCTTAACTATGTGTTTGCTTTTACGGAGTACAAGGCAAACAGTTGGCGCAGTGCTTAAAGTTGCTGCATGGCACTGCAGCTCGCAAAACAATCCAGCCGCTGCACAAAAACCCTGAGTGCGTGGTATTGCAAAGACCTTGTGAGGAGCAAAAGAGGCACGTGCATCAAGATTACATTGCTGTATAATAACTTGCAAAAGCAACGGTTTTATTCCAACGTGCTTTTAAAAAAACTAAATACTACCTCTTCCATAATGTCTTTAAATTCCTGTAATTTTAATTTATTTAACAATGTTTTATTTGCATTTTTTTGGTACATATTTTAAAATCGAGGCCTGCCTTGAGTAGTTTTCTGTGGGATATAACTTACTGTAATAAATATAGAAGAAAAAATGTTGCAAAGCCACAGTAGCACCACTATGATTGATATGCACAGGTATGACCAAGGTGGCCTCCGGAGGCACTTACCTGGAATTAAACATCATTGATTTCAATAGAACAAATGTCCTTTGGATGGCAGTCGTAGGCTGCAATCCAGACATTCACAAGCAGCCACTGACTTTAGCAGACCTGGAATTAGGCAGCACACACCACAACTTTCCTAACATGCCACACATGGCCAAGTGAGCGACTCAGCTTTGTCCCTCGCCGTGCTTGAATTCAGCAAACAGTCCCAGATCAAAGCTCCTACTTCTGAGCAGATGTTTGCAATAATACCAACAATGCTATGGACCGTGAGAAGGCTGGATGGAAATTCCTCCGAGCAATTTCTACATATTAAAAGTGATAAAGGGTGACAGGCACTTGCAGGAGAACCCCTCAGTGTAGGCAATCTCATTTCAAAAATATCCTTCGAAATGTGTAAGGGAAGATGAAAAGGAGAAAGAAACGCAGGGCCTGCTTTCCATAAATGATTAAAAAGGTTAGCCACAGGAAGACTGAATTGCTCGAACAGCAACTGCCATGAGGCATTGTAGAAAGAATGATACCAAGGCCTTGGAAGTACCGTATTTTTCACTCTATAAGACGCACCTAGTTTTTGGAGGAGGAAAACAAACAAACAAAATATTCGGAATCCCAGAAGCCAGAACAGCAAGAGGGATCGCTATGCAGTGAAAGCAATGATCCCTCTTGCTGTTCTGGCTTCTGGGATAGCTGCGCAGCCTGAATTCGCTCCATAAGACGCACACACATTTCCCCTTACTTTTTAGGAGGGAAAAAGTGCGTCTTGTAGAGCAAAAAATGCGGCAATTAATTCCCCCCCCCATTTATATCCCACCCTGCTTCCAAGGAGCTCAATGCAACTTATATATGAGAGTTGCTCCCCATTTTATCACAACCCCCATGTTAGGTAGGCTAGGTTGAGAGAAGCAACTGGGGGAAAGCTAACTGTGCGGCAAACATGGTGCAAATAGGCACCTGCACCCACTTTCCCCTGGTTTAAGCTCAGCATTTTAATCACCATATGATAGTAGTTATCAGAATTGGTACACAAGGCCAGACTGCTCGGTCCCTGTGTTATGCTGAAGCATGCCAGAGTCTCTTGGAAGCTCTTAAAGTCAATTATTTCCATATTGGTTCAAAGGAGAAAGGGCCTTCTCCTATGTTCAGTGAATTGCAGCAGTGCCCACACAAACCACAGTGGTTTAAAACCACTAAATGGCACACGCTTCAAAAAGCTAACTTCCTGTACTTGTGGCATTTTTTTATCAGATCTGTTTAAAATCTGGCACATTCGTGGACACCATCAGATCATGTATTCTCAAGTGGCGTGGCTAATGCAAGCTTAAAATGCAGCTAGGTCATTCATTTTCTCAATTCAGATTGAAGCTAGTTGGGAAGGGGGACACATCAAAATGCAGTATTTCATAAGAAGTGATAGGACAGAGATCAATATGGATTTTGGCTAATAGTCAGCGGTTGGAGACTCTGGATTCAGAGTAAAATGTTCACAGCCCACGTTTCACGTTCAGATGTCTTTTTTATGAACTATAATAGCTTAGAGGCTTATAATGGAAGAAGCAGGATCTGGATTATGTGCCAGGAGTCAAGATAATCAGAAGGCAAGAATTGCAGAACACCGCAAAAATAAGGACCAAAGAGAAAGAACAGAAATGTTACAGCTCAGGTAAACCATGTAGCTCAAGGCAGGGTCAACTGGAAAAGGAAGACTGCCCAGAAAGATCCAATGGTACGATTGGGTACGTGTAATCAGCCCAAAAGGCATTCAACGAAAAAGGTTGCAGTGGTTCACCACCAAGGGCAGAGTGCAGCAGCTCCTGACAGTGGTGGAGTTTGTGGTTTCTGGATGAACTTTCAGATGTGTATCTCCTTTTCGAAATCAGTATTCCTAATTCCTTACAAATTAGTTCACTGAAGTCAGAAAGTACCAATATCTACCGTATTGGCCCAAATATAAGCCGCACCTGAATATGAGCTGCACCTTTAGAATTCAAGGGAGGGGGGGGAGGAAAAAAGACAATACCTGAATATAAGCCGCTCCCTTAAAATTCTGCAGGCACTCACACCCGTTCTGTTTTACCATATGTCTGTTTCAGCAGCGATATCGTAAAAGCCAATTTTTGTAAGGTCGCGAATTTAAGCCACACTTTAACTTTTCACGGTCAGAATTTGGGGGGAAAGTGAGGCTTATATTCAGGCCAATATGGTAATTTTAACCTGTGAACTAATTCCAGAGTACCAAATTGGCAGCACTTTGGATATTACTCGACAGTATTTTTCTTGGTCCAGATGCTATGTAGAAAGGCTCAATTTGTGTAGCAATTTCTACTGCTTCTCAAAAGTTCTCTAGGCATATTTCCACGAAGATCATAGGAAGCTTCCAAACCCTCTCTCAGTGAACAGGTTCCTAGGGTCTCCTGTCTTTCATTGCAATCATCTCTATATATGCCAAACCTACAAAACTTCTCACATCTATAGTCAATTCTGCAGGGAACTCTTCTTTATTCCTCCAATTGCCCCTGAACCCAGGCCAATATAATGTGCCCTATGCAAAATGTAGATCTAAACTTTAAACCTTGAATAAGTCACTTACTGAGGTATATTATGCCACACCAGCAGGACTGATCTGCTAGACAAACTGTCAGTAATCCCTCTTTCTTCACGACATCTTTGTAACTTAAACTTCCAAGTTGACTTTGACCCCATAACTCATGGGGTTTTGACATTAATCCTTCTTAGATGTATACCAATAATAAGAACCTGATCCCAGACACTGAAAACTTATTGGGGTAAACTTATTGCTTAACTATCCAATCTCAAAAAATCATCTGCCTCGTAAACCTCTTTGGCTGGTTCCAGCTAGTCCTCCAGCAAGCCTTCTTTACACCAAGTCTCTAAATTCTGCACCTGCTGCATCTGGGAGAGCTGAAGGCTGCTTAGGCTTCCTTTAAGAAACAACTCCATGCTGTATAGGTTTACTTACAGGTCCTTCTTTTGGTGTTGGGATGTTCTGATTTCTTCCAACGATTTCTTTCAGGAAGCCCAATCTTGTCTCACTCACCAGTTCAGAGTTTATCCCCAAGAAAACAACTACCTCACTTCTAAAACCAGAGTTAGATATCCGCCCCTCTTTTCTATGGGGTGAGAAGTCCAGGGACAAAAGCTGAAGTGGTTAGCTTGGGCCTCCTCCACCCTGCAAATTCATGGTGTCCTTTTGCAACACTTGTCTTATTCATATTTATACAAATGTGGGTGGTGGCCCCCAGATGCTGTTGGACCACAACTCCCACCATCTCATCCCCAGACACAGTGGCTGAGGCTGATAGGAACATAAGAGTTGATATAAAACATCTTCCTAAGTCAGACTATTGAGTCCTTCTATCTTAGCACTGGCTCTACAGTGACTGGCAGTAGCTCTCCAGGTTTCAGACAACAGTCTTTCCCTGCTCTATCTAGAGATGCCAGGGATTGGATATGGGACTTTCTGTATACAAACTGGTTGCTGAACTATGGTCCTACCCCCCATGAGAGTGTACCAACATGTGTAAGGTACTCAGGTTTTCCACATTTGCTTTAAGACATGGTGATAAGCTAAAGATTACTCAGATTCAGAACACCATGGATCTAAATCCTATTCTCACGTTGAGCAGACACTTCAAAGTTCAGAAGTACTCTTTTGTGCTCCATGCGACAATATAATGAAACAGACTGATGTAGTTACCATGTCAAACATGAAGGTATTTTTTCTGCACAAAATCTTACTTTCACCAAAATGTCCTTGGAAGCTTAAAATACCAATTCATAATACAATTCAGTTTTTCTGATAGATACATGGAAACACACAGTTTATAAAGCTCTTTCTCAGAGAACATACCCAAATGCAAAATGGCTTAAATGTGTTTAAGATTAAGAATATTAAAATAAGCAGAAGTTAGTGAAATTAGTGATGGCTAGCTATGAATTTCAAGAAAAGGTAGATTATAATCTTAATGTTATACAGAACTGTTGCATTTGATAGGACTTCAGAAAAGATTTAACACCTGCAAAGAGATAGCTATGCTTTCATGACAGGATATAAACAGCACTGCCGTATGAATTATCAGGGCAAGCAGAATGAATAAAATAGTATCATTACCTTACTTTTAAATTTTTTTATCCAAATCATGGGTTGATATACTACCTCAATTTAAGTATGCAGTTTGAGATACACATGGTATAAAATCCCAAGCAGCTCCAACTCACCAATTTTCTCAAGTCGTCTTTAAGAATTCCAATTCTCTGTGGTTTTATGCAGGAAAAGATATCTTGCAAGTTGCTGCCTAGTGCTATGCTAGATTTCAAAAAATAGTCACAACCGCTTACTTATCTCTGGTGATAAGTAAAGATTCACCAAATTACAGACAAGCTCACAAAAATATTTCACTGGGTGGCAGCGTCAAGTCTGCAGAAAGGAAGGATTAATCCCTTTCCATAGACATAAGATCCTAGGAGCTATATAACTGCTAAGACCAGTAACTCAATCTGGCTTTCAACGTCTCTAAAATTGCTACAGAGACCTACTACTATATATCATCCTCCAAACTCCAGATGTTCCCAAGCAAGCTGAAGCAACTACTTATAATTTTGTTGGCAGTGCGGTCCTCAGCTCCACTTCACAACAGTGATTTTCCTTTTTAAAGGCAGCCTGTGGGTGGAACTACCATTTTAAAGGCATAGGCCTTAAATAAACTCTTGAAGTCAAAGTGCAATAAATCCGCCTGCGAGCAAAAAAAACAAAACAAACAAAACAAAACAAAAAACACCCTATTTGTAGTGCGGATTGTGTCAAAGGCAGCAGGGAGTGAGAAAAGCTTAAAGTTAAAGCAAACTCATCCTTACTCAGATGGTAACAGAGAGCTGGCAGATTTAAGCAACATAAAATGGTAGCAAGCAAATGCATCAAAATATCCTAGCCAGAGGCTTGGGGACCAGCACACACACACACACACACACACACACACACACACACACACACCTACCTTCCTGAGTCAGCTATGTTCTTACCTTTGTATATAGCTTTGATTTAGTCAAGTAAGGATTATTTTTGCAACTACTTTCCCATTCCATGAAACTGGATCCAGATTGCCCCAACAAGAGGGTTCATGAAGACAAATTTCACAACTGGTAAACATAGTAACATGGTGCAAGAAGGCAACTGGGTAGTTAAGTCTACAAACTTGCCACTACTGCACATGATGAAGCTACCATTGGGACCTCAATGTGGGAACAGCCATAAGATGCCAATATTTTTTGCACAAAAGGGCTCAGACCAGAGACATCTTCTCTCAAGCGCTGTTGTTTATTGCCCCATTTAAACAAAACTAGAAGGTAAATGCTAAAATTTGCAGATACATTGTGAACATCCTTGCATTGTTTGCGCCTCTCTAGAAATATACTTATTTCCATTTACAATGAATTGGGAACCAGGTGATGTGTTTCAGGGCAGAACAAACCAGAATTCTATGCCAGGGGTCTTCCATCACAGAGAGATAACCAGTATCCAGAACATTCAAGTCTCCTCTTGTGAAACGCCATTTCCCTTCCACACAGCAACAGCAAGTTGTTTCCTTCTAAACCCAAGGGAACAAGATTTGGCAGAAAGTCTGCTTTCTGTAGCCTTACACTCCCAACATGTCCACAGGAACATGCTATGGTGGGGAAGGGATTCAGTTGCTGCAAATGTGCCCACATAATTGCCTTTGCTTTCATGAAGAGGACAGGTTTGCACTTTGTGCCCTAGTTCCATGGACAGCAATAGTCACAGATGGATTTAGATCACACTACTTTCCTGCACTTCCTTCCATTTTCACCCTTTGGAAATCTATGGCTTAGGAGTAAGAAGCGCTACAGTCCTGCCCCAGCAACAAACCTACCGATGTCAAACGTAACTCAGCGCAGGATGGCATCCCAAGCAAGAGCCATTCAAGCTTCTTGAACTTAGACAAAAAAGAACAAGAAAACCAAGCACATGCAATGCTATGAACTATGCACGTGAAGTAAGGTAAAGGTAAAGGGAACCCTGACCATTAGGTCCAGTTGTGACTGACTCTGGGGTTGTGGCGCTCATCTCGCTTTATTGGCTGAGGGAGCCGGCATACAGCTTCCAGGTCATGTGGCCAGCATGACTAAGCCACTTCTGGCAAACCAGAGCAGCGCACGGAAACGCCGTTTACCTTCCCGCCGGAGCAGTACCTATTTATCTACTTGCACTTTGACGTGCTTTCGAACTGCTAGGTTGGCAGGAGCAGGGACCGAGCAACGGGAGCTCGCCGTTGTAGGGATTCGAACCGCTGACCTTCTGATCAGCAAGTCCTAGGCTCTACGGTTTAACCCACAGCGCCACCCGTGTCCGTATGTGAAGTAAGTGCATTTAAAATAGTTGTAGCTCCCCGTTCCAAACTAATGACGGGACCAAACTGACAGTTCTGGATTTATTGCAGAGAAAGCCAGCCACATATGTCATTGCCAAACGACAGGGCCACACTTGTATTAAGCCACCTAAACCTTAGTGCTCTTTGTATCCCAATTTAAAAACTAAAATTGCAAATTGGCTCTATAAGCAATTGTGACCCCAAAAAAGGGCATTCACAGACACACATTCACCTGTTGTACCCACTGCCTCCAACCTCCCAAGAATGTATTCACCTAGGGCTAATGCAATGTTTTTAGTCTTTCTTCTACCAGAAATTTCTGTTATATTATGTCTCCATCAACTGAAGCTGCAGACAGACAGATGGATGCCCGAGGGACCTTGCTACTTATCCTGACTGGTGGTATTAAGACCAGGAAGAAGGCCATTCAGCCTCATTCTAACTTTCAGGTTGATGTTAAAAATACAAATATTTCATGTGCAAGGCAAACATGTGCAAATATTTCTTGTTATGTTGGAAATATACTGCTTTAGAGATTGTTACTACTAATAGCATCAAAACGTAGAAGAGTTGTTAACAACTCCCCCCCCAAGAAAAAAATCTGGATCCCTGAGTAGTCCCACATCAATGTGTGTTAGAAAGCAAGTGACATGGATGGCCCAATACATTTTGTTGCCTGAGGTGTAAAAGAAAATGGTGCCCTTCTTCTCAACTCACGATGTATTCTACCCAAGCCTGGCCAAGCTATTTTGGCATCTCAGACAAGAGACCACATAAGTGCTTTTCAGTGGAAGGGAAAAAATGTATTACTAATTGTCAGGGCTGCCTCAGGTCCCAGCTCACAAGAGACCAACGCCAAGTCCAGTTTATATACAAAAATGTTTATTGAAGTTCATTGTACGCTCCACAGCCGAGGCGCGCAGCCCCACGTCTGTTACGCTTAGACCGCTGAAGTCCCCTCTGAGTCAGTCCCTCCTCTGCACCAGTTTAAGAGGGCTGTGCTGCTCCACCTCTTCCTTTCCTTCCTTTTCCGCAGGGTCTTCCTGCCCCCTGGGGTTTCGCCCCTCCTGGATTCCCCTGACGCGGAATCCCCAGACAGCTCTTCCCCCCTCCTGCGTGCTTTGGGACCTGGCTCCTCCTCCGGGCTCCCTGTTCTTCCGCGCGCCTCCACATTTGAACTTGGCGCGCGTTCGCAACCGCTAACCTTCCTCTTGACAGTTACACTACTCCCTGCACTACTCCCCTCCCCTTCCGGGAGGATGTCTTGCTCCGATCTCCCCTCCCTCTCTGCTTTCGGACCTGCTTCTCCTGTCACTCTGGAATCTCCACCCCCTTCACTGCGCTCTGGCGGAGAAGCCGGTCCCGACTCCCAGCTCCCACTTTGGGTTCCCCCGCTGGTCCCCTGCTCCTGACGAGTCCCCCCTGTGACTCCCCTTGGCCTGACCACAGGCGCCCCCTTCTGGGAATCCTCCGATTCACTTGAAAGACTCATGGAATCCCTCAAGTCATCGTCATCCTCTTCCTCGCTGCCCTGGGATTCTTCCCCCTCGCTCTCTGTCTCCTCCCTCACCTGTGCCTCTGTCCCTGAACCCCTGACACTAATTTATCAATTTATTTTTTAAAAATTATATAATGCTTGATGGTAGAAAAAACCCCAAAGCGGCAGAAGTTACTAAAAGTTTGCTGTCCTTTCATGACACCTAAAATCAGCTGTTTGGCACCCACCTCATTCTACAACGGAAAAGGAAGCCCTTCTACTTATTTACTGTGTCTTAAATTGCTTTTAATAAATAACAGTGTTTTACCTCTCCCCTAGAGGTTACCAAGTTTCCACTGCAATCCCTTGGGCAAGATTCTACCAAACTTTCTATTTCTAGTTTGGTGCCACTTTGTAATCTCTGTGAAGAAATCGCTGACAGGTTAGAAGGGTGTGATTAATTCTTATGAACCCTTTACACAGAGTTTTCCTAATCACGAGGCAGCCATCCACCTGACCGGCAAGTCTATTTTTATGTTCCTTTGATTGCTAAAGGTGAGAAGGACCCGGGGACTTCGCCTTTACCCACATTTGGTGGCTTTCCACTTTGCACCACTTCCTAATTTTCCTCTACACCCTTCACTGCCACTTGAGACAGGTGCAGTGCCCTCTGTCAAACTCTCTAGCAAGCACACATACAACCACATCTTAAATGCCAACAGATTTATTATGGCCTAAGCCTCAGTCCAGTATACCTGAAGAAGGGTCTCCACCTCCATCGTTCTGCCCAGACACTGAGGTCCAGCGCTGAGGGCCTTCTGGCAGTTCCTTCGCTGTGAGAAGCCAAGTTACAGGAAACCAGGTAAGGGCCTTCTCGGTAGTGGCACCCGCCCTGTGGAACGCCCTCCCATCCGATGTCAAAGAGAAAAACAACTACCAGACTTTTAGAAGACATCTGAAGGCAGCACTGTTTAGGGAAGTTTTTAATGTTTAATAGATTATTGTATTTTTTAAAAAAACTTTTATTCAAAATTGAAACAAAACATATTATCCAGAAACATATCATCCTTATTCCCCCCATTTTTCCTCCCTCCCCCCACAGAACCCCCCCACCCCCCGACTTCCCTCAGTTCCAGTCTTTGATTTCTCTAAAAATGCTGTTTTCTGCATGTTACACAGTTGTATAAATCCTCAAACTATTTAACTGATTATTATCAATAAAAAGTTTGTGAATGTTTATTCAAAAATAGATTATTGTATTTTAATATTCTGTTGAAAGCTGCCCAGAGTGGCTGGGGAAACCCAGCCAGATGGGCGGGGTATAAATAATAAATTATTATTATTATTGGGCAAGAGGCCACTCTGAACTCCAAAGAGAGCAACATCATCCGACAAAATATGTCGCAAGAAACCTTATTCGCTGTGCTGAATTCAGCAGACTTAGGTGTTTTTTTAAGTGAGTGTGCTTAGCATTGCACAGCCTGTGTTGCGACTAAGTTTAAGCAGCATCCGTTTCATTAGGCGTTTAGCTACGCTTAGTTAGGTTGTGCACCTTGTGAAGGTTTGCAGTTTGTATTGTGTGGGACACCTCACCCCCCCCCTATAAAAGAACATGGATGCATTTTAGGAGGGCCCTAGGATTCAGTACCAACTGGGAAAGACCAGGTAGCATCAGCTGCCAAGAATGCCTTTTTAACAGCTTGGGCTGGTATGTCAGATGCAATTCCATCCGAGGAGGTCTGACCTGACCA